ATAAATTATTGTGTTTTTTCAATTATTGATGATGATTAGATTGTATTTTGACCCAAAAAAAAAATTGTAATTGATCTTTTTAACTCACTATGTTTTTTGAAAAATAAATTATTGTGTTTTTTAATTATCAATTGACTTATAAATTATTGTGTTTTTTTAATTATTGATGATGATTAGATTGTATTTTGAAAAAAAAATTGTAATTTATTTTTTTAACTCATTGTGTTTTTTGAAAAAAAAATTATTGTGTTTTTTTAACTATCAATTCACTTAATTTATTATTTGATTTTTAACTCATTGTGTTTTTTGAAAAACAAAATAGATTGTACTCATTAGGGTCACATAATGTATCAATTATTGATGATGATTAGATTGTATTTTGACCCAAAAAAAAAAGTTGTAATTGATCTTTTTAACTCATTATGTTTTTTGAAAAATAAAATATTGTGTTTTTTAATTATCAATTGACTTAATTTGTAATTGATTTTTTTAATTATTGATGATGATTAGATAGCATTAAAAAAATTGTGATTATGTATGATTGAAGTTATCTCATTTTGTTTATAATTTTATTTTTTAATATGATTAAAGTTAGATAAACATAAACACTCACAATAAGAAAAATGTGATTGTAGTTTGTTCAATAGTTCTAAATAATCTTTTTTATTTACTATTTTAATGGTTATTTTTTTCAATTATTTTTTTTATTATGAGAAATATGTCATTGTAGTTAGATAGCATTAAAAAAATTGTGATTTGTATGACTGATGTTATCTCCTTTTGTTTATAATTTGATTTTTTAATATGATTGAAGTTAACTCACAAAAAAAAAATGTGATTGTAGTTTGTTCAATGGCTCTAAATAATCTATTTATACTATATATTAAACAAAAGGGGATTTTTAACCCCCCAAGGCCTGTGGGAGCTTCAATATCCCAATCTGAATTTTCTAAATTTTTTATTTTTTATTTAAAAAAAAATTCAGCATTTATTGATTTGGTCAAAATCCCCTGATCAGCATTTATTAATTTTTTTCAATCCACATGTCTTTCCACATGACTGCATTTATTGATTTGGTCAAAATCCCCTTATACAAATAATTATAGATACAATCTGTGTATATTTACTGTAGTACCCTTTTCAACTTCTCCCATACACTATGGTTAGTAATAAGATTGTTAAATTATTTTTATAAAAAATCTTAAAAAACATAATTTATATATTAAAAAAAATCTAAAACAAATATAAATATCTATAATTATCTCGTACATAGCACGGGTGATAGGTTAGTTATCTATATATGTGAATTCTGATTTTTAAATTTTGTTTTAAATGTTTTCTTTTTTTCCTTTTTTATATTATTATATTATATTAAAGTTTAATATTTTGATAATAATCATATGAGTTGAACTTTTCAAGAAATTTTTTTTATGCTTGTTCTTAATGTATTAAAGTGACATTATGAGGGATAATAATCATATGTGTTGAGACTTTTCAAAGAATTCATATGTCTTGGATTTCAAAGATTTTTTTTTATACTTGTTCTTAATGGATTAAAGTGTTATTATGAGAATATGACTTGGGAGCTAGGAGAAGTTAATAAATGCAAAGATTTTTTTTTTTAAAATCAAAAAATCAAGAAATTTAGATTGAGAGGTTGGAGCTCCCACAAGGCCTGGGGTTAAAAACCTCATTTTGCTTAATATATAGTATAGATATTCATGAGCTCAAAGCATGCAAAGAGGAAAGATTAGGAAACAATTCCTCATAATCAAACCCAACATAAGCCGAAAATAGAATAATCTACCCGTCACTTAACCAAATCCTAAGCTTCCATGTTCAATTTCATGAGATATGTTCAACCAAGATCATAACTCAAAACCCTAACTGTTATGAGTGCAAAAGCTTTATCTTAGGTCTTAACTCCAAGCAATTGAAGAGATATTTCAAGTCTTTGAGTTGATTAACACTTACCTTGAACCAATCTTTGAGTTACTCTTTCAATTTCTTCCAATCTCCAAGCTTAGGTTGAATACTCTTATTCTCTCTCTTTTCTCTTCTTCTTCTTCTTCTTCTCTCTCTCTCTCTCTCTCTCTCTCTCTCTCCAGGAGATATTTTTTGGTGGTTTGATGAGTCTAAGTCTCCTAAGGCTTATGTATATACATTACAACTAACAAGGCTTAGCTCATTAAGCCTAAGTTTAAGCTTACTTAAGAGTTTAGCTTAAATAAATCTAATTAATTCATTACGAATCAAATTTTTACAAAACTTCATATTATATTCTAAAAATCATGTTAATCATAACTGTAAACTCAATTTCAGTTTATCGCCCCTCTAAGGCATTCAATTTGTAGTCCAAAGGTCGTAATTTCAACAGATTTTCTCATAACCGACAGATACAAATTTATAAACATGTAATTCACACATTAAAACATAGAATTTCACATCAAACACATAAGCACACATATAATCACGCATAGAATGAGGAAATTAAAGCATATGAAGCATATGAAAGAGTTGGGTTATTACACTCTTCCCCCCTTTAAAAAGTTTGATCCCTCAAACTTATTTTATCTCAAGTTGCAAATAACTACAAATACCGCTGTTTCATTTCCTCTTCTCTCTCCCAAGTGGCTTCTTTCCCATAGTGTTTCTGTCATTCAACTTTCACCATTGGAATTGTCTTGTTCCGTAGCTGTTTCACTTGTCGATCCAAAATTTGAATCGGTTTCTCTTCATAGATCAAGTTGTCATCCAAAGCAATCTGACCGTAGTTTATGACATGGGATGGATCTTGGAGATAGCCCTGTAACATTGATATATGAAACACGTTATGTATTTGCTCCATACTTGGTGGAAAAGCAACACAATAAGCCACTGGACCTACTTTTTCCAAAATTTGAAATGGACCTACATATTGAGGTGCTAATTTTCATTTCTTGCCAAATCTTGTTTGTCCTTTCATCGGGGTGACTTTAACAAAAACATAATTACCAACCTCAAATTCCAAATCCTTTCGTCGGTGATCCGCATAACTCTTTCGCCTACTTTGGGCGATTTTCAATCTTTGTTGAATGATTTTAATTTTCTCCGTTGTCAATTGCACAAGTTCAGGCCCAAACAATGATCTATCGCCGACTTTGGTCCAATACACTGGAGAGCGACATTTCCTCCCGTACAAAGCTTCATATGGTGTCATTCCTATGCTCAAGTGGAAACTATTATTGTATGCAAACTCTACCAACAGTAGATAAGTTTCCCAACTCCTCTGGAAGTCCAAGACACACATCCGAAGCATATGCTCCAATGTTTGTATAGTTCTCTCTGATTGGCCATCAGTTTGGGAGTGGAATGTCGTACTGAATTTCAACTCTGTTCCCATAGCATCCTGTAAACTTTGCCAAAGTCTAGAGACAAATTTCGAATGTCTATTGGATACAATTGAAACTGGAACACCATGTAATTGGACAATTTCATCCATACACACAGTAGCAAGTTTATCCGCATTATATCGAACTTTCATAGGCAGGAATTCATACCTCGGGGTGTTCGGGGTAGGCAAACAATAAAATCCATCGTTATATGTTCCCACTTCCACTCCGGGCAAGATTGTATGATTTATGGGTTTATTTCGAGGGCGTTACATGCTTTGATTGAGAAGTTGCCTGATGACTGGAAAGACTTCAAGAAATACTTGAAACACAAATTAAAGGAGATGACAGTCGAAGAGCTTGTTGTTAGGCTTCAAATTGAGGAAGACAATGGGAAGAAAGGGGTGAGTACCTTCACTGTGAAAGCAAACATGGTTGAGCATGGCCAGTTCTCAGGGGTGAAAAAGAAGCCACCGACAGGTAAAAGCTTGAAGCTAGGGGTTAGAGGCCGCGTCTCCAAAAGGCCGGTCTACAAGCTGCAAGAACCTACTTTTAGGTTCAATGGAAGGTGCTTCGACTGTGGAAACAATTGGCATCAGAAGTACCCTCCACAGAACAAAAGTCTGGCTCACATGGCTGAAATGAAAGATCTATCACAAGATGTGGATGACATGCATCTGTCAGCTGTTGTCTCTAAGGTAAACATGTAGGGTTCAAGCCGAAGGAATGGTGGGTAGACACTGGGGCCACTCACCACATTTGTGCTGAGAACAAGATGTTCACAACTTTCAACCGGTTTCAAAGGGTGAGAAGTTGTTCATGGGAAATTCTGCAACCTCAACTGTTGAAGGTAAAGGCAAGGTGGTCCTAAAGATGACTTCAGGAAAAGAGCTGACTCTAAACGTCCTATTTGTGCCAAACATTTGTAAAAACGTTGTCTCAAGGTCGCTCTTAAGCAAGCATGGCTTCAGCATAATATTTGGGTCTAATAAGGTCGTGTTGACCAAAAGCGGTGTCTATGTGGGGAAGGGGTATGTGTCGGGCGGTATGTTTAAGCTCAATGTAATGACTATTATCCCTAAGATTAATGAGAAAGCTTCTTCTTCTATTTTTCTGCGTGAGTCCCCTAAATTATGGCATGGTAGACTTAGTCATGTGAATTTTGACTCTTTGCGTAGATTAATTAAGATAGATCACATACCATCTTTCAAGATTAATCCCAATCATAAGTGTGAAACTTGTGTATAAGCTAAATTAATAAGGACTTCATTTCATTTTGTTGAAAGAAGTACCGAGCATTTAGATTTAGTGCATAGTGATGTGTGTGACTTAAAAGTCATACAATCACTTGGTGGCATCAAGTACTTCATCACTTTTGTTGATTATTGCACTGTTTTATGTGTTTTCTTAAAAGCAAAGATAAGATGATTGATAAATTTATTCTTTTTAAGAATGAAGTTGAGAAGCAACTAAACTGAAATATCAAGGCTTTAAGAAGTGATCGTAGTGGAGAATATGAATCGCCGTTTATTGAGATTTGTGCTCAATCAAGAATCATACATCAAACTATAGCGCCCTATTCCCCTTAGTCAAATGGTGTTGTTGAGCGGAAAAGTAGGATGTTGAAAGAAATAATGAATGCAATATTTATAAGTTCTAGGTTGCTACGGAACTTGTGGAGGGAAGCAATTCTCTCCGCAAATTACATTCTAAATAGAATACCTTGGAAGAAAATGGACAAAGACAAAATGACATAGCCTCTGTCTGTGTCTTTGACATATACACATTTGTCACACTCATTGATTTTAAACTCATTTGACAATAAAGTGTTGTCAAACTTCTCATATCATTGCTCAGGAGCTTGCTTCAAACCATATAACGAATTGACAAGCTTACAGACATTCTTATTTTTTTCCCTGGAGCTAAAAATCCCTCGGGTTGTTCCATGTAGATTTCTTCATCTAAATATCCATTTAAAAATGTTGTATTAAAATCCATTTGATGTATCTCCAGACCACGTAAAGTGGTTATCGCAATCACCATGTGAATGGATGTAATCCTTGTCACAGGTAAATACGTATCAAAGTAATCCAAGCCTTCTTTCTGCCTATATCCTTTGATATACTTATCAATTGACCCATCCGCTTTCAGCTTTCTTCTAACGATCCACTTACTCCCCAAGGCCTTACTGTCTGGGGGTAGATCAACCAACTCCCAAGTATGATTCTGTAAGATGGAGTCAATTTCACTCTTAATCCCTTCTTTCCATAAGGGACTTTCAAGTGAAGTCACAGTTTCATGGAAAGTTTGAGGTTTTCCCTCTAACATATAAGTCAAGAAGTCCAGGCCAAAGGACTTGGAAATCCTAGCCCTTTTATTCCTTCTTAGCTCATCTATTTTCTCATCGTGATCATTATCACTAGGATCATCTTCATGTTCCTTTTCAGAACTTTGATCCTCTTCTTGGGTTCGGCAAGGAAACATGTTCTCAAAGAAAGGCGGATTCCTTGACTCCATAATGGTATTCTTGTGTATATCTGAAATATCAAACTTGTGCACAAGAAACCTATATGCACTACCATTCTATGCATAACTAATAAATGTACAATCTACGATTTTCGGACCTATCCTAACCCGCTTAGGTGTAGGTACCGCCACTTTTGCAAGCCACCCCCACATTCATAGGAAATTGTAAGAAGCCTTGAGGCTGTTCCATAATTCATACGGAGTCATGTCCACTTTCTTCTGAGATATTCTATTTAGAATGTAATTCGCAGAGAGGATTGCTTTCCCCCACAAGTTCTGTGGCAACCCAGAACCTATCAACATTGCATTCTTCATTTCCTTCAACGTCTTATTTTTTCGCTAAGCAACACCATTTGACGGAGGGGAATAAGGCATTGTAGTTTGGTGGATAATTCCAGATTGAGCACAAATCTCAACAAAAGGCGATTCATATTCTCTACCACGGTCACTTCTTAAAGCCTTGATCTTTCAACTTAGTTGATTCTCAACTTCATTCTTAAACAGAATAAACTTATCAATCGCCTCATATTTTCTTTTAAGCAAATACACATAACAATATTTAGTGCAATCATCAACAAAAATGATGAAGTACTTGTTGCCACCACATGATTATACGACTTTCAAGTCACACACATCACTGTGCACTAAATCTAAAAGCTTGGTACTTCTTTCAATTGAATGAAATGAAATCCTTGTCAATTTAGCTTCTACACAAGTTTCATACTTATGATTTGGATTGATCTTGAAAGATGCTATGTGATCTAACTTGATTAATCTACGCAATGAGTCAAAATTCACATGACCAAGTCTACCATGCCATAATTCAGGAGACTCAAGCATATAAGCAAAAGAAGAAGCTTTCTCATTAACTTTTGGGATAATAGTCATTACATTGAGCTTAAACATACCGCTCGACATATACCCATTCCCCACATAAACCCCGCTCTTGGTCAACACAATCTTATCAAACTCAAACACCATGAGGAAGCCATGCTTGCTTAAGAGCAACCCCGAGACAAGGTTTTTACGAATGTCCGACACAAATTGGATATTGTTCAGAGTCAACTCTTTTCCTGAAGTCATCTTTAGGACCACTTTTCCTTTACCCTCAATAGTTGAGGTCGCAGAATTTCCCATGAACAACTTCTCATAGTTTGAAACTGATTCAAAAGTTGTGAACATCTTCTTCTTAACACAGATGTGACGAATGGCCCCAGTGTCTACTCATCGTTTCTTCGAGTTGGACCCCACTATGTTTACCTCAAAGATGACCACTGACAGATGCATGTCGTCAACATGTTGTGACAGATCCTCCATTTCAGCCATGTGAGCGTGGCTTTTGTTCTACGAAAGGTACTACTTGTAAGGCTTCTTCTTCTTGCGGAAATTAACCGCCCGATGCCCATCTCTTCCACAGTTGAAGCACTTTCCATTGAACCTAAAAGTAGGTTTCTGCAACTTGTAGACTGGTCTTTTGGAGATGCCACCTCTAGACCCTAGCTTTGAGCTTTTGCCTGTCGATGGCTTCTTCTTCACCCTTGAGGATTGGCCATGCTCAACCATGTTCGCTTTCACGGTGGAGGTACTCTCCCATTTCTTCCTATTGTCTTCCTTAATTCGGAGCCTGACAATGAGCTCTTTGACTATCTTCTCATTTCGTTTGTGCTTCAAGTAGTTCTTGAAGTCTTTTCAATCGCTAGGCAGTTTCTCAATCAAAGTAGCTTCCTGGAATGATTCACTTAGAAACATTGCCTCTGCATGAATCTCGTGCAGAATCACTTGGAAATCTTGGACTTAGCTAATGACGGTTTTTGAGTCCACTATTTTAAAGTCCAGAAACCGACCAACAACAAATTTCTCTGCCCCAGCATCCTCGGTCCTATACTTCTTCTCCAAAGCATCCCAAAGCTCCTTCGCCGACTTCTTGGCATAAAACACATTAAACAGTGTATCTACCAAGCCATTCAAAACATAGTTCCAGCAAAGAAAGTCTGACTACTCCCAAACATCTAGAGCCATGAGCTTCTGCTTGTCTTGCTCATTCTCCTCCCCGGCTGGTGGATCCTCACTAAAAAGCCTCGCAAGGCTAAGAGTAGTCAGGTAGAACAACATCTTCTGTTGCCACCTCTTGAAATTCACTCCAGTGAACTTCTTTGGACGCTCATGATGGTTGAGCGGTCACAGCAACAGCGTTGACCACAAAGGTCACAGCAACAGGGTTGACCACAAAGGTCACAACAGGGGTTGGCAAACCAATTGCCCCGGGGTTTTGATCCCCACCTACATTAGCAGCATTAGTGACAGTTGCCATTTTTAAAAAATATAACAGAATTTCACTATTATGTGTTTCCAAAATTTAACTTAATAGTAGAAAATCCCAAAATTGGAAATTTAATTCAAAACTAGTCTCGCTACTTACCCTAGAATCGAACATGGTCATGAAAGTTTTCAGGAAGACTATAGGGGTCACATCGATCTCACTTAAGACCCAGTTAACCTTAAACAAAACTTTCAAGAGTATGTTGACTCCTAATTCATGGGAAACAATTGTTAAAATTAAGTTTTCCAGGAGATAAACTAGGTTAAAACAAACCAGGTTCCAAAACTTACAAGCAATTAAAAAATTGCTACAACAATTATAAGCAAATAAAATGCTTTCAAGAAATTACAAGCAAACAAACTTGCTTTAACATATTGGTAAATAACCACTACTAGAACTCAAGCAAAAATTTGCTTCCAATATAAAGAATATAAACCAATCCAATTAGGATTCTATTTGGTCCAAAACTCCTTTCCACGCTTAGGTATTTTTGTTCAACAAAAAGGTTAGTAGTCCAATTATTTATTTATTGTAATCCCAAATTCTATTCATTTGGATTTATATTTTTTTTTTTCTGCATAGGTATTCCTATAAAGAAAGTTAGCAGAAAAACTTAATAAAACACAAAACAAATAATTGAAGAAAAAAAAACTGTAAAAGTAATAAATTAATTTAAACCTTCTAGCATTATACAAGTTACAAAACAGTACAACTCCAAAAATTAAATTAAAATTAATAGGCAAAAGTTACATATGAAATTATTACACAAAAAACATGTAAATAATTCTAGCGATTGACATGCAAATAATTCTAGAGTAATTAACATGTAAATAATTCTATTAACCCAAAAATTTAGAAAGCAATTAGCATGCAAGTTATACTGAAACTCTAGCAATAAAATCATGCAAATAATTTTAGAATTCTAGAAAAGAATTAGCATGCCAATTGAAACCAAAAATCTAAGAAATAATAGCCTTGCGAATTAAATTAGAATCTAGAAAAAAAAAAATGAACTTACTGATTATACTAGAAAATTAAAAAATAATTCGCATGTTGATTTTAACTAAACAAGTAGAGACTCATGAGCATGCAAATTATATTATAGAACTATGTACTAAAGAAGCATGCAAATCATGGTAGGAAATTAAAAATCATGCTCAAAAAAATAAAATTATACTAAAAACAAATAAGCATGCAACTTATGCTAGAGATCTAAAAATAAAAAGCATTCTCTTCTAAACTGGAAAACTATCAAATAACATTGCATATAATACTAACACATTAAAATGTATTTAACCACTTAAATCAACTAAAACAGTAGACTATTCAATCCTAGGAAACAGTAGTTTTTTCTTTTAATCATTTACCGACGCACATGAGAAATATATCCACATATATAAAAATAAAAATAAAAATAAATAAATTAAAACAATCATGCACTTTCATATTCAAGAGCACCAGGTACTTTTTTTCTTTTTCTTTTTTCTTTTTTTCCCATAGCATGTAACATTGACACTAGCATGCCGTGCATTAGAATTATTTGATGTAATGAGAAATAATAAATATTCAAACAGTGGCATGCAGAGTAGGCAACTTATATAAATACACTGAGGCCCCGTTTGTTTTCCTCTTTCGCAGTCCGGAGTGGACTGTGAATGATGAATAGTGCACATATCTCATGTTTGTTTTGACAATGTTGCACTGGAATCATAGTCCGAACGGACTATGAATCCCCTCAAACCAACGGATTAACAATCCCTCATGGGACCTAGTATTGAAAAAAGAAGCTGTTGGGATTATAATATAAATGACCATATTATCCACCATATCATCAAACAGAAAAACAGATCCCTCCTCCAAATTTTTAACTACACTCAGAAACAATCAATAATTTTTAAAAAAAAAAAAATTCAACTGCTTATAAATTTTTTAACAAATTTCCAAAATTACAAATATCAAAAAATAATAACAAATTCACAAACAGATTACAAATATCATCTAACAAGTTCTCAAAATCAACAAAATAATAATAAAAAAATCAAAAAAATCACCAAGAGATAAGACTGATCCAGCACTTTGGTCTTCATCGAGTTCGCCTCACTTTGAATTTGAAGGTCAACATCGTTGTTGACGAACATGAAGGCTGTGATCGTTGCTGATAGAGCTCCAATTAGCTTGAACCTGTGGTCATCAATGGCAAAGCTTGAGCAAGAGAGAGACATGTGAGGTAGAAAAAGAACCTGAGTGAGAGAGCAGGATATTTGCAAAACAAGCCCCAAGTCCACAAACCATGGGCTGGTTTTGGAGAAACCCTTGGTTAGTTTCTCTAATAATAATAAATAAAATTTTAATAATAATAATAATAATAAATAGATTAATAGTTGAATTCTTTATTATTTTTAATTATGTAATTTTAATTTTAGTTTTTGAATAGTTTAATTGGGTAATGCATTTATTAGTTGGTATAAGTTCAAATTTGATACTAATACAATAAGGGTATTTGTGTAATTTTACATAGTTAATCTCACTCCTATCTCTCAAAATAAACATGAACTATTACTAGTCTATTGGTTATCAAACATATATAATTTTTCTTAATCTGCTCACTAGCAGTCCCCTCACTAATAGTTTCCTCACTAACAATTCCCTTCATTCTACTTCTAAAAACAAACGGACCCTAAATTTGTAATCATGAATTTCATATGAGAAACAGTGGCCTTATGATATTTATTATTCTATAATTCTAATCACGTACTACAAACGACCAACAGTGTACAATGTGGGGAAAAAACTAATTGAAATTATATATGAATCTATTTGATGAATTTCATGGAAGGCAACGAATCTATTTTAAGATTGTTTTATAAATCGTAAAAAATAAATAAAACCAAATAGATTCATATTTAATAAATTAAATTACAGAATATGAATTTATGAGAAATTACAACTAAATTGAACAGAAATACATAATAAGATAAAACGAGAAATAAAAACAAATCGAAACTTATGTGATATCACAGTTTCCTTAAAAAAATTCGATGCCTCATCGCGGGTGTTAGAGGTATATCGGTGTCTATCTCCCAAGATACGACGGTATAGACACTCTAACGTAGAAGCAGCTTCTGTTTAGCTCCTGTAAACCGACAATGACAGTACTCTCTCACACAGGAAGGACAATATGAAGCAGACTGACTGTATAGTATAGAAGCCAAAAAAATTTTTGTTGAAACCAAGGAAGATGGCCTCCTTTTATACACAATGAGGGAGAGAAGAGGAGCCTCCCATCCATGAAGGCTGACAACAAATGTAGCCTATTACCTGATGAAGTAATATACAAAACTGATGGGGAATAAGTGTGTGAGTTACACACTCTATATACACGTGTATATCTATAGCTACCAAATAAACTTGGCCAAAAAAGATTAGGTTGGTAGACCACCAATCCGGCCTAGCTCAAACGTAACCCATTCCAACAAGCCTCAGGCCTAAACCCCAAGATCCACAGACCCGGCCAGGGCAGGTGGCGCGGGCGTGACAATTTTTGCATAACCAATTTGGACAATAGTTTTGGCCCAAGCCCATCCTCGAAGCATCTATAACTCTATTCCTTCGGAAAATTTAGATGCCCCAAAGGGCTTATGCCCTTATCAAATTCTTAAGGTTTAAATACCCATCAATGCTTTCCTCTACAATCAATGTGGGATTAGTAGTTAGACACAATTCTCCGTACCTCATTCATGAGGCCAACTTTATGAGATAATTTCTCATTCAATTCATAATGGTTTTTTGTCATTCTTTTTGTAGTATAAAGATCTTGTTACAAAGAATCTAAACCCATTTGATCACACCTCAACCAATAGTTGGGACCTACTTTAATTTCACATTAAAATCACCATAAAACCATTTTTTTCAAACAATCCATTCATATGTATTGTGTTTCAAAATCTATGGTTGATTATTGTTTCCATAGCAAAATTGTTTCTTTAGTGCCCTAATTTAAAAGATTCAAGACTAATTTACCAGTAAAACAAGTCCATCCAAACCAGCTAATCTGCCAATTCTTGAAAAATGTCATAGGACAAGAACACTGGAAATTGGTAGCTTCAGCTGCAATGCATGGTGTTAGGTTAGTGAACTTGTTCCATCTTCATAGGCTTAGTTGAGAATGATCTGTGGCATTGTCATGGGGTGGAGAGAACATCAGCGCAAGATCTACACAACCACTCAAATAACGAGTGCATTGACAATTTGAAAAATCAACAAGATCTAGGTTTTCTTGAACACTACATTTCAAATCCTTCATGCTACGATTTACATGTCCAAGAAAACAAGGGAACAGTTTTGGGAACTTCGTTTTTACTATGGGGTCTTGGATATTTTGCAAAATGTTCATGATGATCAATAAATTTATGAATTAGAGTATAAAATGTTTTTAATTTTTTTCATTGGTGGAAAAATAATTGTTTATATTGGTGGTAGAAATTTCAACACGACTGTCGGGGCAAATCTAGCATTTTTGTTTAGTGGAGGGCAAAACTCGGTTAAAATCATACACAACTTTTTTCTTTTGGCAATGGAAAAAGTTGATCTGATAATTTGATTTAGAAATGACCCAACAATTTTTTTGTATTTTGAAAATTATGCATGATAACATCATTTGAAATGCAATGTAAACCAAGAGTTAGAGAGAGGGTGAGAAGCTAGATTAGTCTCCAAATTGATGAGCATGAGAGAGAGAGAGAGAGAGAGAGAGAGAGAAGAAAAGAGAAGAGATTTAAACAAATAGGCCAATAAGAAGAAATTAGCCAATTTCAAATCATTGTAAATGAACATCCAAAATGGACAATAAGAAGAAAGACTACAGCAAACCTGTTGAAAAAAAAAATTGGAAGGTGTACAGTGAAATCACTCGGATTCATATTTACAGAAATTAATACATGATCTGAAAAAAATTAACATAAAAATACATACAAAATATTATTGAAAAAAAAGAGTATACAGAGAATGGTCAGTTCCTGTAGGGTATTCTCATAGAATAAAATTTATTGGTCATAAACCTAAAGATAAACCTAGTCATACCGTCTCCTTTCTTCTTGTATAGACCGGAAAATTCGAGCAGCTGATTCAGATGCTGATCTAGGGTTGTGAGGTACAACTCTAATCACCCGTGTTTGCTCCTCGGTGCTGTGAGCCCGAGCAGGTCTATCTAAAGCTTTAACTGTTGGGATAGTAGGGAAAAGAGGAAGCCCATCTCCGTGCACCCTCCTCTCAGAAGGACTACTTGCTGTGCTACCTTGCACCTCACTCTCTTTTGATGCCTGCAAATTCTTGACACAGTAAGAGTTTGCCTCACTCTTCTGGCTCGACACATTACATGAGTTTTGATAGGGAATGGTGAAATTGATATCCCCGGTTAAGTGATTTTCTAGCCCATTTGACCGGGCTCTAGCAAATGGACTCACCTGCTCAACAGCTGAACTTGAAATAGATGGGTTCATGAATGGCATGCCATATGGAAAAAAGTAGGTCTGACCAAGAGGAGTGCCGGAAAGAATTCCAATCCCTTGGTCGTGAGATGGGGGAATGTTATAAGGTGTGTTCAAGAAATCTCTGCCTACAGGAGTTAGGTTTGTGGGCCCACAACTACCATAAACTGGAGCCACAAAACCTGATGTTGGAGGACAAGATCCTCCATAGGGCTTGTAAACAAGTCCTTCAGAAGGTGACAATACAGGAACTAACCACTGGTTTCCGGGTGGTGGGTGGAGGCACCAAGGTGGTGGTTTTGCATCATCAGTGGCTGGTTTGTAATTTGATTGCCCAGTATTAAGTACTTTCTTGGTATCACCGTTGAGAGAAGGAAGAGGAGGCTTTCCCAATACATTCTCTGCTGCACATTCTGTGTTGGGGTTAGGCCTCAGAGGATCTGCAATTAACGATGGTGCTTTTATTGCATTCGCAAAGGGCAACTTCTTCATGGATAATACTTCGATTGAAGGCTTTTCCATAAAAAGTTCACTTCCGAGCAATAGATCTGGTGATGCCGCAAACAGTCTCTGTACCTGTGGCATATAAACAAGGAATGCAATTCTCTTTCCTTAGAAGTCACATTCTAAAACCAAGAAGAAAATGACTGCCATTTTCACTGAGCAAAGAACAACATACCTTTATTAGCCTATGCAACTCAAAGACTTGCACCGCAAAAACTCTTTGTTGACTGCAAATAGTAGCATTGGAGTTGGATTAAGCGCCAAAACCAGATTTTCAAGCAAGGACCAAAAACACTTCTGCACACACACATAGTTGACCACTTAATAACAGTGTTTGCAATCTGTACCTCTTTCCAGCCTAAGACGGTTGTCCATGTCACTAAATTTCAGGACAAACTGTATTAATCAATCACACATTTGCATATGTGGATCGCATTGAGTGGATTTCCAACCCAAGGTTTTGCCCATATATTGTTTTTCATACAATTCTATAGAACATTTGCATTATTATATGTCTCGAAAACAAAACAAAGCATTGCATGACCATGGTGCAAAAAGATGAAAAATGTGAACACTAAAAAAACTCCTTGATGTTGGTATCTGTTTTGGCAACCTTACCAAGGCACAAACATTCCAACTGTTGGCAATGATTTGAAGTAAATCATACTTGATCAAACCTATACACAAAAGGACAATTCCAAGATCAAGTGGAAGATGAACTTCTATTTCTTCAACTATCTTCTATTTCAACCCCCTAATGGTTTTTCTATCCCCGCAATCTTGCTTCCTTGTTTCCAAAAATATCAAATCCCACCATCTTGCCCTTCAAAATAGTGGAACAATGCCACTTATTCTAATATTTACCCTCAGTTTAAAGGAGATCCAGAACAGAAACAGAACCAAACCAAACCAAACCACGCCTTAAGTCCCATCAAATAGAGATAACAAGCTATTCACTCATAACCATCATCACACCCCCAAAACATAAATTTCTAGGACATGCATCGAACATGAAGGCCATGTTTACAAAATGTTCCCATTAACCTAGAAAGACATACTTGCGTATGAGCAAGAGATAAATGACAAACGAAGGTTGCATTGGAACAAGGTGCCAATATGTCATTTAAGTGCATGCCACGGATCAAGCAACCTTCACCTCTGTATGCCAAGAACTTTTAATGTACAATGTTTTGGCACCAAAAATAAAAAGAAGAAAATTACCCACATGTGGTAGTTTTCTACAAATTTAAATGTTAACACCCTCAATGAAACTATTCTGAAAATTCTACATTCCTTTGTTGCATGCTAGAAAAATCAAAATTCTCAACGTAATTATGATTAATATTGTTATTCAATTCTAAAAACGAGAACCTCCATATGAAACACCATGAAGCATGATATGGCACAGACACAAGACATGGCAATTTCAAAAATCAAATAAGGACATGGATACAACGAAGATATGACAAAATTGTTTTATTTTCCAAGTATATAAATACGTCTTCCATAAAGAACCAAAATTAACAAATATTAACACAAATCTAACATTTAAAATAACAACTAAATTTAAATCAACCAGAAACTAGATATTTGTTGCATTTGGTCTCCAAGGATTGTTAGAAGCTAATCTCAACTTCACAACCGTGATTAGATCTTTGTTGCTTTATCGATGGTTTTATATGAGTTCTATAGATTCTTTTTTTATCAACCTTCATGTTCCAAATATTATAATATGACCCTTGAAAGTAGCTTTAAAAAAATTAAAATAAGATCCCGGTGAGTCCCAAAGTATGTCCCCACTATGTCTAGTGAAAAAGATATATATATATATATATATTGGCATAGAAAAATTCACATTTAAAAAGCAACATAATTAAATTCTCATCTCACATATCATAAAGACATTGATACATTCACAACATCCACACTTTTTAGAAAAATATAGAGAATGAATCACTTGGAATAGCTGTTGAGAATATATAATTTAATTAATAAAGTTGCCCCTCTCTCTAATAGCTTAAGCTTTTAAATGAGATAGTGGTTAACGATTCAATATGGTATCAGAGCAAGCTATTGCGTTTGAACCTCATCGCCTACCCAATAATTAAATAAATAAATAAAACGTGCACATGTTTGGCCCACTTATAAAGGAGAGCCTGGCCACCATGAGTGGTCGTTTTGAGAATATAATTTAAATAGGGCAAAATCCATTTTATCCCCTTGTAATATGACCCAATAGCACTTTATCTCTCTGTCTTTTAAAAATAGTCACATACCTCCCATGTGATTTTGGACTAAGATGCTACAGTTACGTTTTCCATCCAAACTAACAAAAATTGTGTCACACATGCTTATTTGAGCTGGGGGGAAGGAAAAAAATTAGTCAAAGATAAATTTTAATGTAAGAAAACGAAACTACCCTTGTTTTAACTTTTTTATCTAAATTTCTTATTTAATAACATTTTAAATTAAATATACTTATTATATATATAATTTAATTAACCTCAATACCTTAATTTATTATTAGAAAAATTAATCATCAAACAACTTTAATCCAATTTTTAATTTTTAACCCAATTTTTTATTTAATAACATTTTAAAATAAACATAAACATACATATATATATGCATATATATAACAAATTAAATCATAAATTAAACTAAACACCCTAATTTATTACCATAAAATTACTTTATTTAATAATATTTTAAATTAAACATATACATAATACACATATATAATAAATTAAATCATAAAAGTACCTTAATCTAATTTTTAATTTTTAACACAGTTTATTTTTTATTATTTAATAATATTTTAACATATACATATATATTTAACAAATTAAATCATAAATTAATTAAAATTAAAAATTAAGTTTATTAAAAAAGAAAAAAAATAGGAAACTCTAGTTTCTTATATTAGTTTTGTGTTATGTTTTTTTATTTTTTTTCTTGGTCATGGAGGCAAATTTATTTATTTATTTATTTACAAAGAGAGTCAAAAATAGAAGAGTAAACCATAAAGGGTGTATAATTGTTTTTTTATTGTTAATATTAACGGTGTTAAGGTTGCATTTTAGTCCAAAATCACATGAGGGATATATGGCTATTTTTAAAAGATAGGGGGGATAAAGTGCTATCGAGCCATAACACAAGAAAGTAAAATGGATTTTGCCTATTTAAATAATAAAGTTTTCCCTCTCTGAAACAGCTAAGCATTTAGATAAGAGTAGTCAACAATTCAATACCAGGCACTATGAAACACCCAGTCCTTAACTCGTTTGGAGCTTAAATACAAACCAAAAAAAAAAGAAAAAAAGAAACAAACAAACAAACATATCTCAATAGCAGCAAGTTTCCAGAGAACAAATAGAATTAAATTTATGATAGTGTATGCCAATATCAAATGGAAACCAGAGAGTAAAACTTTTGTGTTTGTTTGTTTTAATTGGAACAATGTCCCTGACTTCAGCTTGACTCATTTTTTCAAAAATGAATTTGACAAGTGAAAACCATTAGAGGGATAATTATTATGATTTTCTACGTGTAAATTCATATGTGAAATCAGGTCATAGAATATTTCAAACCAAAAACAGAATGTATGGATTCATCATTAGAACATATTAAATTAAATGTTTTAAGGCAGAAAAACTACACCTCAATATGCACATGTAAACAATTAAAAACCTTTAAATTACAATTTAGGTATAAAAATGCACTGTGCTTCACATACTATGCATGATTCCTTCATTTCAATATAGTTAATCCATTATAAATGAACATAGTAATGATCAATCAGAGATACTTACTGGACAATAGCTCTTCTTGCTTTCCAGAATTGTTTTTCACCTATGACTCCTACAACATCATCTGGGGATATATCCACACCTGATATAGAGTCCACAATGGAGTTGTCTGATATATTGCCATTTCTGTCTACCTTTTCCACTTGTAAAGCCCCGCACTGATCTTCATGGCACTTGCCGACATTTTCAAGTCTACTGGGACTTATATGATTGTCTCCACGTGGTGGTCTGGAACAGGATATGCTTTCCACCGTGAAATCATTTTTCCTTCTAACCACCTTGTTAAGCTCTGCTGCAATGCCATCACTAAGGGCCTTTTTTTCTTGTGAAGCACTACACTCGTGAAGCTCTATACCCTTTACTGATTCAGAGATCCTACCAAGAGGACTAGAAGATGTATCTGCCAAAACCTTATCCCCCTTCATCAAATTTGAAGCAGGATTTTTGGCAGAATCATGATAACTCGGAGACATTTTTGAGTTCTCTTCAGTTTGATTCCTTATATGTTGCTTTGAAATTAGATCAGCAGAGCTGCTAGCTTGTTTCAGCTGTTTTATGCAAGCGTTTTGAAGTTGCCCGTTTGGGCTTGAGGCAGTGGGATTTTCTTTATTCATGTTTTGTTGTCCATTACCAGTATTGATAGTTCTGCCTGATTGGGCGAAGGTTGGAATTTTAAAATCATCCTCATCTCCAAGCTTCTTTGTAGAAAAGTTCTTAGAGATGCTGTGTGGTTGATAAAAACTAAAATTGGCTGTCATTGATATATGCCCCGCAGCATTCAAAGTGTGATACTCTGTGGGTTTCACTGGTTGCGATTCAAGATTCATCGATGGTGTATTCAAATTCATCCCACCAGAATAATAAGAGTGAAATTTCTCAGCCAAATGAAAAGCAGGTGAATTGCTGACTGGTGAACACAGACTCCTTTTTTGGCCGCCACCCTACAACCATGAACCTCTTCGTGTAAGTAGAAAATAGAATAGCTCAAGAACTCATGAGTACATGAAACCATATTTGTTGTTTTTTGTAACAAAAAGAAATGCATCACAATAGATTTAAACCTCAGTAGAAGTAATCTAATCATCATAACAGAAACAAAAAAAAATGCATAGAAATACTTGTGAAACACAAGAAATGAAGGACAATCATTCTCCTCACATGTTTTCTTACATGTAAGGAGAATTTCAACTTGGGTGCTGAATATTGAAAACTAACAAAATGAAGAGAAATAAGATAAAAATAAACCGTGCACTGATGTACAAAAGGAAAGGGAAGCTTTAACATCCAGAATATCATTATACTAAAAAGCAAAGGTGATGGCGAGTATTGAAAAGAAAAAGGGCAAATTTGAAATTTCATACAGAGCATGTTCAGTACAAAATGGATTGAAGGTATGAGAATTTTAGATTGTGCTTGTGTGAACTACCCTCCCCCTTACGAGGGTGAAGCACCTCACTCCCTCTCTGCTTCTCTCTCTATTCTTCTTTGCGTGAATTTCCCAAGTACTATTCTCGGATTACTATTAACAGCCTTCAAAAAGTGCACTTTCAGCCCCAAAGCCCTATCCAATTACCAACCAAATCAACCTTAATAATACCTTCTCCTACCCATTAACATTCAATTTAACCATTAAAAACCTAAATTACTCACTGTTTAGGCCCTTAAATAGTCATTGTTCTGAAATTCCAACAAGTAGTCCTACATCAAAAGGCCACCCAAGTTAACGCCTCTACTGGCTGCCTAGCATCTAAGTGATCCTGTAATGTACAAATCATGCATTTTTTGGACGCCAATTATGAATAATATGACAAAAAAAAAAATCCAGAAAATCCATCCAAAAAGAGGAAGAAAAAAAAAAAAAAAAAAAAAAAAAACACAGAACAGAACATGTTGCAGAGTACTATCACATCTATTCATAACTAAACAATTCCAAAAGACTACAACCACCAACAATTCACTTTAGGAGTGCCCTGCTCGTTAGTACCTATAAAACCAATTTTCCAACAAGCACCCAGGCAAATCATCATAGGCCTGTTTTCACAATACTGTCAAAGAGATGACTGGACTCTTTTTCGATGTTCTTTATTGATTTTCGTTTTTTGGGGTCAAATAAGAAAGCAAAGGTGTTGGGGCTTTGAGCAGTTTTTGCGTTATTCTAGGTCATATGGTTGGAAAGGAATGAGAGGATCTTTGAGGATAGAATTGTTGATGTTTTCTCAATGTGCGAAAAAATCAGATTCATAGCATCTCTTTGGACTTCAGTGGCTCCCCTGTTTAGGGGGATTCCGCTTTTCTTGATTTCTAGCTATTGGAAGTCCGTGTGTGACTCTTAGTTTTTGTTTTCTATTTTTGAGGACTTCTTGTCCTCCTTTGTACATCTTTTTTTCTCTTCTCCATTTTAATAAAAGTTCTCTTTTGTCGCTCATCAAAAAAAGAGATGACTGGACTCTTAAATGATTGAAAATACCACAACAAAACTGTCAATGGCAGTATCTAATGCTCCATATGACTACCAAATTCTCAAGTACCTTAAGATCACAATTTCAAAGAGAATAGCGACAATGCTCACAAACACGACAAGAAAATAAAACAGGAAGAAGATTATCTCAAGCTCAAACCTAAATGTGCAACCCGTAATTTAATTACAAATATTTTTAGTGTGACCTATGTGGATAATTGCTTGTATCTGTATCCTTTCTCTTTCCCACTTCTGCACTCAAAATGATTTTACTTGCACAAGTCACGTCGACCATTTTTTGTAGGTCAATGCACATCATGACAAGGTATGGTATTTTAGCCCTTTATGCTTGGCTCTCTACACACAAAAAGATGTATACATGTGTGTGAATTCTTCCATCCTTAAGTTGAAGTGAGAAAGAGCAAAAAAAAATGTTGCTATCCTTTAGGAAAAATAGTGGGATAACTATCTCTTGTAATCTCCTCGCTCTTGGTCTTCTTTAGGATTGTCATCTTTATGACTTAGAAGTTAGAATTTGGTGTGGAAATTCAAAGAGGCTCTTGCAGTCTTTACTTGGACGAGTTGGTGTTATTCTTGCATACATGAAGGGCTCGTAAACAAATAATGCAATTTATGTGGGTTTATTTTGAGCAAGAGGTACACCATTATCCCTCTCTATTTTATGTTCAACAACAACAAACCAAGAAATTGTAATCGTATGCCATTTAGAAAGCAAAGCCATGATTAATTTTACTAAATATATTGGAGCCGCTTACAAAAACATAATAAGCTTCATTTTCAAACTGTACATGTGGTTTCTGCCAACAGACAAGACAATGGATGATAATTGTACATCCCTTGCCCTAAACAGACAGTTAATTATGTAAATTCATACTAAAAAGCAAAACCTAATATAGATTCTTGAACTCACATGACTAGATGATGTGGAAGCGATCATACTGCCACTATTATTGGGGCGTAGAGGCACCATTGATGCCGATCCAGAGGTAAATCTCTGAGAAGGAATACCGAGCTGTTCATAAAGAGCCATCTTGTTCCTTGGAGGTGCCTTAGGCCCTCCTTTCTCTGCATCATTGATGTGAAGTCTAGGAAACAAAGGACCCATTAGTTTCTCTTCATCTTTGCCACTTTTCATCATCCTTCGCTTTCTAATTAGTCCTTCAATGATTCAAGCCAAACACCGTTTCCAAAACAAACTTTGTTTTCATCAAATTCAGACCATGCTTCCATCCCCAAAATTTTAAACCAAAGCTTACCACCTCTAGAAACATGAATACTCCAAAAATTACAAGTACCCAAACTCAACCCACCTCAATAAAACAAATCTTTTGGCTGGAGATCAAAAACAAACAAAAAGACCACATCAAATTGTTAATGAAAACAACCAAAAGCAACCCAACTGAAAACATCAGAGCTTTGAACTGAAAGTCAAAACCAAACAACAACCCTACATGCTACTGTTAACAAAACATAATTCTGCAAGTAACCCAGCTCAACCCACCTCAAAAAATCAAATCTTTAAGCCAAAGAGCAAAGGGAAAAAAAAAACCAAAAATTGACACACCTCAAAGAATCAATTCTACCAACTGAAAATCAAACAAAATCAACAAAACACACAGCACATTCACAGAATAGGATGAAGTAAAAATCTAGCAGCAGTGACGAGAGAGAGAGAGAGAGAGAGAAGAGGAAAAAGATTCAGCCAAGAGAAGAGGATTACCTTGGAATTTGGAGAGAGGATTTGATCAACAAAAAAGAAAGAGAGAATAAAAATAGTAAAAGGTTGCGAGCATTGTGGGACCCAAGTGAATAGAAGTAGAAGTTCTTTAGGCAACGAGTGCTTTAGGCCATAAAAAACAAAACAGAGAAAAGTGAGGGTGGGGCGACCAAGGCAGTGAGACTCAGTCAGTCTCTCTCTCTCTCTCTCATATGTACTATTTCACCAAACCATGTGTGAAGCATTAGAACCACATGTACGTATGTATTCTTGTTGCCAATAATATAATATTATTATATATCTGATTCAAAAATGGCCAATCTTTACACTAAAAATCCGTTAAAGATCGCGCTCAATGAGGCAGGTGTTTCTGGTAACAATGGGGGAGTGGTGTCTTTGAGGGTAAAATTGTAGGAGAAAAGCTTGGGACCCAGGGAGACCTCCAGCTTTCTCACTGGATGCTGATTGGTTAATTTTTTTTTTATTTTCCCTTCGTCAATCACGAACTCCCACGTGTATGGGGAGGGGTGGGGTCTCAAAATTGTCGAGCTTTATGTTACACACAATCCAATTATATTGCGTCTACTTTCTACGCGATTGAAAGGCACGTTTGGAGACAATGGTCTTGTAGTGGATATTTGTTTCCATAACAATGATTCATTCCACTAATTTAGGAGCACTGATGGATCACTAATGAGGTAGAAATTCAAAAAATAAAATAAAATAAAAAATGCAAGAGTAAAACATCACATCATGTGGGACCCACACCACTTTAGAACTATTAGTGCTCCTCTTTTTAGTGGTCTCACTCATTTCTCTTAGAAAAATACTTGGGAGTACTAAAAAATGATCACTAGAATGAGTAATAATTATATGACAGTGGGTTCCGCTCACTTTCTATGTGTTATTTTTATTTATTTATTCACCATTCTCAATATATTAGTGATATTAATAATATATTTTTTAATAGTCTAAATCATTCTTGTATTTCTTGTTTCCATTCTAGCTATTTTGAGAAAGAAAAAAGGTTGATAATCACATGTTATTAACATTCAATGTCTATCTAAGTATACTTTACGTCATTTTGTATCGTAATAATCATTTATATATTTCAAAGTGCAATGATTAGGAGTCTTTCTCGTCCACGCATCAATTATTGCTACGATTCATGCCAATAATATTATAAACTTACTCTTATTCATTTAAAATTTATTTAAAAAATTAATATTTTAAATTTATTTTACTCATAAATCTCATATTTCATCAATTTAATTTTCATTACACAAACTCATTTGAAATAAATTATGATTTCCTACAGATAGGTTCATAGCATTTTTCTTATTTTGGAGCATCCTATTTATTATTTTGGATCTCTACTCTTCGACTTCTTTTATTTTTATTATAATAATAATCTCAAAAGAAATTACTAAAGAAAATATCAATCATTTTGGGACACCACATCTTATAATTAAATCTACACACCCACTAAATAATGAGATAGGATTTATGAGAGCACTCATCTCAATCACCACATGTCCATCTTTTCGAAATTATACCATTAAAACCTATCCACCCACTAAATAATGGGTTTTGATTTTGGTTTTAATTTCATCTCTATAAAATTGAAGTCAATTAAGAAAGAAAAGAGTTGAAATCCAAATTTAATTTTAATACTCTTCATGTCCAAATTTGTGCTCCGATTTTCATACTCTTCATGTTGTTAGGGCTGATTTCAATATTTAATTTTATCATTTTAATGTGATTGGGTTGGCCTTTTTTTTTTTTAAGATGTTTATATTTTTATTTCTCCTCCTCTTGATTGTAATCCATTAAGATTTTTCTATCCATGGCAGTTATTTATTTAAATAAGATTTTGAATTTTATTATCCGATTCGGTAGTAATTGATTTGGAAATAACATCTCATTGCCAATGAAATTCATGTTAACTTTTAGTATTGCTAATTTTTTGTTTCTTTGTGTCTAAAATTGTATAACCAAACATTATTAGATTCAAGTACAACAGTTATGGACAATTTCACTATTTTGGTCAAATAATTTTTTTTTTTTGTTATAAATAAATAGTTTTGTTTTGATAAGTTAAAGTAGTAATATGGTGTGGTGATGTGTTTAATATTGGAGGTGGATTCTCAAAATTATTAAACATATATTGACTGGTATTCTTTCAGTGGACTGGACTTTCTTTTGTTCAAATCTGTGGAATAGTTAAGTTAAATAATGCTTCTGAAGCTGGCAAAAACATTGAAGCCATTTTTCTTTTTTTGGGTAAGTAATTGAAGCCATTTTTCATGTTCTAGCTAAATAAGTTTTCAGATTATGGGAGAGTAATTTAATTTATATGGAGTAGTTTCATTCACAAGGAACAAAAATTGTTCGTGCAATAAGTTAAAATGCATCAATGATGTAACCCCACCATGTAAAAATCTTATTTCATATATGATGCAATATATAATGTAATTGTTTTTTTATGGTTAATCAATTTATTATTTTTTATTATTATTTTGCAAGTTACTTTATAATTTTGTGTTGTTCAAAATTAATAATTTCTTAAGAGGTTGTCTAACAACACCATCTTTCTTTTATTGTAAGTGTTCTATCAATATTTGTTGATTTATTTATTTATTTTTAGTATATACATTTTGTAATTTTTTTTTATTCAAAAAAATAGTATTTATTTATTATTTATTTTTGTAGTATCAAAATACATCTCAGTGACTATTTATTTTTAATTTGTATATAAATTCTGTAATTGCTTAAGAAAATAAATAAAAAATAAAAAATTTATGGTATATCTAATCTGCTTTGACTGTACATGTTTTGTCCATGAAAACATTGAGAAACATGACTATAATCTTTTCTTATTTTATTGCTGTTACTGATGAAAAAAATGTATCCATTCAAATTTTTAGTCAGTAAATTTTGGTAGTAAATCAATTATGTTTTTGGTGACTCTCAAATTCATATTTTTACTTTACAAATTTTACAGTTAGAACTTGCTGAAAATTCATATTCATATCAACGCCATAATATATTTTAGTCTGGTCCAAAAAAACTAAACCAATCGCATGGATCCTTCGTATTCACTCATTTTTTTATTCACGAATCACATACGAGCATTGATGGGTTTACATTTTTTCTCTACATTGATGGGTTTATATGTTTCTGGGTTTATAAGAATTTCATCAACTAAAGCCATAATCAATGGGCTGTGACAAAATTTTTGCTTTTGATGAAACAAAATGAGTTGGTGAATGTTTATGTGTGTATTGCTTTAATTTCTTTCATGAAATAAATATTCATTATTGTTTATAAAATGGCTTTGTTGTCTGGTGCATTTTTTTTTTTTTTTTGCATAAATTTATGTTTGGAGTTTCCGGGTGATAAATGGTGAATTTAAAATATTTATGATTATAATAGGTTTTGATTTTGGTTTTAATTTCATCTCTATAAAATTGAAGTCAGTTAAGAAAGAAAAGAGTTGAAATCCAAATTTAATTTTAATACTCTTCATGTCCAAATTTGTGCTCCGATTTTCATACTCTTCATGTTGTTAGGGCTGATTTCAATATTTAATTTTATCATTTTAATGTGATTGGGTTGGCCTTTTTTTTTTTAGATGTTTATATTTTTATTTCTTCTCCTCTTAATTGTAACCCATTAAGGTTTTTATATCCATGGCAATTATATATTTAAATAAGATTTTGAATTTTATTATCTGATTTGGTAGCAACTGATTTGGAAATAACATTTCATTTCCAATGAAATCCATGTTAACTTTTAGTATTGCTAATTTTTTGTTTCTTGGTGTCTAAAATTATATAACCAAACATTTTTATGTTCAAGTACAACAGTTATGGACAATTTCACTATTTTGGTCAAGTAAGTTTTTTGTTTTTTTTCTTCATATAAATTTACATAGCTCTCTTATAATGTAAGGCCTATTTATTTATTTTTTAAAAAAACTTATCATATCTAATTTTCTTCTAATAAAATGCTCTCTTTTTTTCATACTTTATAGGTGGATTGAGACTTACATAGAACCGTAATATCAACTCTGTTTACTAATTTCTTTATTTATGTGTATAAAGTTTTATTTATCACTCTAAATTTTTTGTATATGTAGGTTCAATTTCTTCAAGAAAGAAATGTTAATGTTGTTATCCGCGATGAGTGTGATCTTAATACTATTCGCATTTGTGAGGTAAGCTTAAAAGTCACTTTAACATTAGACATGAATTTTCTTATCATTTTAAAAATAATTGATAAATATATTCTACTTATTTTTTTTTATAGGCAAAGGCAAAGGAAAAAGATAAAACAATATCAAAGGAAATAGAAAAGGCTATCCTTTTTGGCAAAGGAAACGAAAATGTATATCCCGTGGTATGATTTCTCAACAATTTTAAAGCTTCTTTTTCGAATATTTATTATTATTATTTTATATAGATTTTTTTAATAATTGCATAGTGTCATATACGCTTTTTTATCTACATTTTTTAAAAGTTTCTTTTTTAAATATTTATTCAATTCTGATTGATTGTAAAATGTTTTTCTGAAGCATGTTAAAGTAAGCATACGTACAAAATGTTAATGCATTTGTATAAACATTAATATAAATTTTTAGTATGTTTGTCTATTTGTATGAACATATGTTGCATTTACAACATAACATAATAAAAATATAAGAGAAGAAAACGAAAAAGAAAAGAAAGAAGAATGAACAAATATGTGATGAAAAAGAAACTACATAATATAATTTTTTTGATTTTTATTTTTCTTATAAGTTCTTAAGGAAAGAAGAAAAAGACAAAATAAAATTTAATATAGCAGAAATAACAAGAAGAGGGAAAAGGGAAGTAGAAAACATTACACGTTAATATTCACATTTTACGTACCCAATGATATAATATTTACCTTTTCAACGTACATTTTGTCAATGTGTCTTTAAAGAAATAAGTGCATAGTGAGTTTGTAGTGTTGTGTGCTTAATGTATTTTCAAATTTTTTTTTTCCCTTTTTAAATTTCATCAATACATACACTGGTTCTTATATGACTAACAACTCAACCGAATGAAGATGAAAAGTTAGTTAAAAGAAAGAAAAAGTACATGATGAAAGGGAAGCAAGAGAGGGGATAATCTTCACATTTTATGCACCTAATTATATAATATTCTTATTTTAGGCACACAATGATAATGTGTTATCAAAAGCTGCATTGTCCCAACGTGCACGGCGAGAACGTGAAAAAAATCAAAAGCCATGTTCTGCACACCAATTGGGAGAACGCCCGCAACGAGATCGAGAGAGATCAAAGGAATGTATTAACCCAAGACAACATTCTTTAACACCAAATTAGTAAACAACTGTGTTTAATTCTTGAAATATATACTCTTACTATTACCACTTTATTATATAGATTTTAATTTGTTCACAATCTATTTCTGTAGGCCTACTCCTATAACCCCATCTAGAAATGTTAGTGTGGTCATCCGTGATGAGTACGACTTTGATGTTATCCGTGTTCATGCAGTAAGTACAAAATCAAGTCAAACATTGTATATATTTTATTTATATAAGATGTTTTTAATCTTTTGAATATTTTATTTATAATTGTTAAGCAAAAGAGAAAGAAAATGTCAACCCAATGTCTAAGGGAAAAGAAAAGATGGCTTCTTCTGACAAGAGAATGACAAATGCAAGCCAAGTGGTATATATTCATTTTAAAAAATATGATGCAAAACTAATCAAAAATTCAAATGGTTAAAAGTTATGGGTGTATAAAATGAATTTGTTGTTTTATGTTGTTTTTGTAGAATGATTGTAATATGTTTTCCTGTAACTTGCTATTATTTTTATGTGTTTTCTAAATTTATTTATTTTTATTTTACATAGATACATGTGCATTTATAATGTACCATCCATAAGTTGCAACTTATATGAAGAGAATAAGAAAAAAGAAATGAAGGAATAAAGAAAAAATATATGGGCCAATATTTTTAATTCTTATTTATTTTTTTAATAAAATACAAAATGAATGAAGAAAGAAAGAAATAAAGATAACACTATTAAATATATAAAACAAATAAAATAGAAAACAAAATTAAGAGAAATGAAAGAAATAAGAAGATATTTTCATTTTAAGCACAAAATATTCGCATTTTTTGCACCAATGATAAAATATTTTTATTTTAGGCACAACATGATAATGTAATATCAAAAGCTACCTTGGCCAAATGTGCTCGGCGAGAGCATAAAAAAAATGAAAAGTCATACTTTAAATTTCAATGCTTGCAACGAGAACAAGTGGGATCAGAAGAATTTCTTCAACCACGACAACCTTCTTTAGCACCAATTCATTGCAATCGCGCTTCCCTGGAGTGGAAAACAATAAAAGAATATATTTAACCACGACAACCTTCTTTAACACCAATTCGTCGCAATCACGTTTGCCTGGAGTGGGAAACAATAAGTGAAGATTCTCATTCGGCACAAAAACTAACAATGATTACCCATCATTCTACATGTTCGTTTTCTATGCCAAAAACATCTTTAGCTCCACAAAGGAATCGATAATCTACTATATCTAATTTTGAAACACATGCTCTTACTCTTACTATTTTGTTGTATAGAATTTTATTTATACACAAATATTCGTAGGTCTACTCCTATAAATCAATTTCTTCAAGAAGATCCATGTATTGATGATGAATTAGAAGATATGCCTATGAGTACATCAATTGATGCCCGGGCACACATAGATTCTTGTTACCATTATCTTGGCAAGATAGATGTATTATGTCCTTATTGTTCAGCTTTAACATTAGATAGATGAAAAATTGACAAAATCATCTATGAAGCATCCCTTATTTAGAACTTACTGTTTGGAAGGAAAGATTAGCCTACCTTTACTTATTACACCCCCTCCACCACTTTAGGTATTGTTTGATGGGAATAATGATCAATCAAAATTCTTTCGAAGTCATACTCGAGTGTATAATGCAACCAATGTTTTTACGAGTCTTGGTGCTACATTGGATCCTAGAGTACTCAGTGGAAAGGGCCCTATATCATTCACAATTCATAGGGAATTGCGGCATCGAATAGGATCACTACAACCACAACCAGGGCAGGATGTGAGTTATGCTCAACTTTATATCTATGACCCTGATTCAGCTTTAGAAATTCGTAATCATAGAAATCCTAACTTGAGAAGGGATGTTCTGAAAACTATTCAGGATAGTTTATTGCAAGTCAACGCATTTGTAGATAAATTTTGCCAGGCTCATGCCATTTTATATCAATTAGACTCAGCATGACACAATCTACCTGCTCATCTACATTACAATTTAGTAACTGATCGCTGTTAGTATAACCTACCAATTGTAGATGAGATTGCTATTGTAATACCAAGTGATGGAACAGAGATAAGTGGAATGAGAGATATTATCTTATATTTTTGAGGAAATAATAAGTTAATGCAAATTAATGAATATCACCCAACATACTTGCCATTACATTATGTTATATTATTTCCATATGGTGAGCCTGGATAGGAACTTGAGTTGAAATTGTAGAACGTTTAGTATGATCAACCTCCAACTGATCGACTTACTCAAATGGATTTTTATAATTATCGTTTGTTTGAACGACCGACAGAGTATTCAACAATTTTGAGAGGTGGAAAATTATTTCAAGAGTTTTTGGCAGATACTTGGGCTGCAACTGAGAAAAATCGATTGACATACTACAAGCTTAATCAAGGAAAACTTCGAGTTGAGCTTTACCAAGAGTTGTTAGATGTTGATCCAGATTATGTACGACCTGGTTAAAGATTTGTTTTGCCATCTTCATTTACTGGTAGTCCTAAACATATGTTTAAAATCTTTCAAGATTCATTGGCTATCACGCGATACAACCAACACCCAAATATTTTTCTTACCATGACTACAAATCCCAATTGGCCATAAATTACTTCAACATTATTACCACATCAAAAACCTATTGATTGTCCTGATTTAATTGCCCGTGTTTTTGAGTTGAAGAGAAAGTGTTTGATGAAGGAGATAAAAACAAATCAGGTGTTTGGAAATAAAGTTGCACATGTTTTTACAATTGAATTTCAAAAACGAGGTCACCCTCATATGCATGCACTTTTATTTCTTAAGGGTCCAGACAAAATTCGAACATGTGTTCAAGTGGGCAAATTGATTTATGTAGAATTTCTAGACCCAAAAGATGATCCTATGCTTTTTGAAACTATCAAATGTTGTATGGTACATGGACTATGTGGTGTTCAAAATCCGCAAGCACCGCGTATGGAAAATGGTAGATGCACTAAGAAATACCCTCGAGCTTTCACAGAAACAACAACTATGGATCAAGATGGATACCCTATCTATCGTCATTGCAATAATGGTCAAGTACATATTGTGAGGGGGCAAGAAGTTGATAATAAGGATATTGTACCATACAATGCATATCTTTCTAAACTTTTCAACTATCATATAAATGTGGAAGTTTGTGCCGGAATGAGATGTGTCGAGTATATACATAAGTACATTTATAAGGGTTATGATCATACAACGATGGTGTTGGGAATAATAAATGAGATTCAACAATATCTTGATGCAAGGTATATTGGACCTCCAGAAGCTACTTGGTGAATATTTGGTCATCTTTTGCATGCAAAGATGCCAACAGTTGTACGATTGACACTTCATTACCTAGAATGCATCGCGTTGTTTTTAACCCAGAAAAGTCATTAGAAACTATTCAATCTAGAGTTGGTTAACAAATGTCAACTCTTACTGGCTTCTTTGCATATTGTGCTACTAGTGAAGATGAATGTCCATTCACTTATCAAGAATTTCCACAGCATTTTGTTTGGCTCAAGTCAAAAAAGAGATGGAAATCAAAAGAAAAGGGATATGCAATTGGTAGAACGTACTTTGCTAGCCCTAATTGTGGTGAAAGATTTTATCTGCGTTTCTTATTAACTGTTGTCAAAGGACCAAAGTCGTTTCAGTCTTTACACATGGTTAATAATGTTGTGCATGATACATTTAAATTAGCATGTGTTGCAAGGGGGCTTTTAGAGGATGATGAAGAATGGATAAGCTGCTTGAAAAAGGCTGTAGTTATGAAAACTGGATATCAATTGAAGAGATTGTTTAGTATTATTCTCACCCAGTGCTCTCCACTAAATCCATGTGCATTATGGAATCAATTCTCAACGCATCTATGTGATGATCTTGCACATAAGATTCGCACATTGTTTGCCATTTCTAACCCCACAGCGGCTCAAATTGAAGATTATGGTCTCCATCTTTTGAATCAAATGCTTCATGAATGAGGCAAAAGTTTATTTGACTTCCCACCCATGCCACAACCTACTGCAAATTGGAGTGCAGCAGTTAGTAATCGATTGATATTCGAACATCAACAACTGCAGAGTGAGGCACAACAGGCAGATCCATAAATTACTATTGATTGTCTCAACAATGGACAGTGGAATACTTATAACACAATCACTTCTTCATTTTTTCAAAATAAAGGAACTGTTTTCTTTCTGAATGAGAGTACTGGAACAGGGAAAACATGTCTATACATTACGATTACATTAAAATGTCGTAGCCTTGGGCATATCGTTGTTACTGTGGCTTCATCTGGAATTGCATCATTGTTACTGGTAGGAGGTCGCACTGCACATTCAACATTTTTCCATTCCATTAGATGTCTTGGAAAATTCACTTTGTGGGTTTAGCAAACAATCATTACAAGCTAAGTTATTTAGAGAAACAAAACACATAATTTGGGATGAAGTTCCTATGCAACATAAACACTGTGTTGAGACGGTTGATCGTACATTGATGGATATTTGTGATAGTGAAAAGCCATTTGGGGTTATTACTATTGTTCTTGGTGGAAACTTTCGACAAATCTTACCAGTTATACCCAAAGGAGTTCGTGAGCAAATTGTGAATGCATCATTAAGACACTCTATGTTATGGAAGCGTACATATCTTAACTTTGGATTTGAATATGTGCTTAAATCCTGAAGGCCATGAATATGCTAATTTTGCAAATTTCTTGATGGAGGTAACATTACTTTAACCTTTTTCCTTATTATATAAATTATTTTAAATTAATAAATTGTGTTTGCACTCTTATTTTTTTATTGATTTCACTTTTTTTAGATTGGGACCAATCCTCAAGAAATTGTTAACCTTCCATCAACAATACACAAATGTCAAGATTTGAATGATTTACTCTCTACAGTTTACCCACAGTTGAATATGAGAGAGACGTCAACCCCAACATTTTTAACTGAACGCACAATTTTATCTACACGTAACGATGATGTCAGTGACATTAATACTACTGTGTTGAATATCTTTCCAGAGAGATTATATACTTATCTTGCAACAGATAAAATATCTGAAGATAATGAAATTGATCCTACCATTACAAATAAATATCCTAATGGATAGTTAAATTCATTGGATCCTCTTGGGCTACCAACTTTTAAGTTAGAGTTGAAAGTGGATTGTCCTATAATATTATTGAGAAACATTACACCAAAAGATGAACTATGTAATGGTACAAGATTGATAGTTACTAGGTGCGACACTTGCATAATTGAAGCTCAAATTTTAACTGGAGAAAAGTTTGGCAATTTCACATTCATACCAAGGATATCTTTGACACCATCTTCTTCAGAAATGCCATTCCAAATGACAAGATGTCAATTTCCAGTCCGATTAGTATATGCCTTGACCATTAATAAATCTCAAGGACAATCTGTGAAATTTGTTGGGGTTGATTTGAGCATACCGGTGTCTAGCCATAGGCAATTATATGTGGAATTATCTAGATGTACTTCCTTTGATTGTATTAGTATTCTCCTCCCTAAAGATAGTTTGGATTCTATACAAATATTGTTTGTCCTGAAGTGTTGTTGTAATGTTCTACGTAGATTAAATCACGTTTTATCAGAAGGTAACCATGTAGATTTATTTCTATTGATTATATAACTTTTTATAAAATTTTAATTTGATAATAATTTGAAATATGGACTTTTATAGGATTGGATCGAAAAATCTATGGAGTTTAAAAGGAGAAATACGACCAGCTTGCTTGGATGGGGATGTAATAAGGTAATTTCAATCTCAAAGTATTTTGTGAAGTTGATTTTCAAAAAATGTACTAATCTATATTTTTTTTTGTTTCCACAAATTACTAGATTGTTGTGCATGTTCCTCATTGGTGATACATACAAGTTGATACAAAGACTTTTTGGAAAGTAATGAGGAAGAAGTTTGTACAAATACATGTTTGAAGACATGTTACTGACACATCTTTTGTAAAGTATACATATTTGGGAAAGCTTTAACCCACTTTTTGTAAAGTTTTAACCCACTGTTTTGATGTATGACAATATAATGTTTGTTTTTTCTTATGTAGTTATAATTTGATTGGCAGCAATAGTACTAACATGTGTGCATTTTAATTTTAACTTCTTTTAGATTACAGAGCACTGAATGGTGTGCATTATTTGATATTTAATTTTTTTTTTTATATTTGATTTGTTTGGAATTGTAGAGTACAAGTTGTTATGTATTGTTTGATATTTAATTTTCAATTTAATTTGTTGAGATTGTAGAGCACTTACTTATGTGCTTTATCATATAGATTTAGCAATTTTTTTTTTCTTTTTATTATAAAATGTTAACAAGTATACAATAACTTTAATTTCTATTTTTTGTTCAATGTTTACAATTTTTTTTTACTTACTCTTATATTTTGATTTTCAATATTGGTGAATATTATAAATCTTATATGTTTGTTTCTTAATTTACATTAAGATTATGGGGAGTTGTTATTTTATTTGCGTTTTGTAGAGCATGTAATACAAGTAAAATTGTTACAAGTTTTTTAAGAAGTAAAATATTTCAATATATTTTTTCAGTATCTTTATAAAAAAAAATGACATAAATTTCACAAATTTCAACATAATACGTATAATTTATAAATACATTATAATCTTAATATTATTTACACCATAACTTTAACTTTATGTACGGAAATACACTAGTGTCATTATATATCTGAATAAAAAATGGCCACCCTTTACCCTAAAAATCCGTTAAAGATCGCGCTCAATGAAGCAGGTGTTTCTGGCAATAATAGGGAGTGGTATCTTTGAGGGTGAAATTGTAGATCTTTGTGTTGCACACGATCCAATTACATAGTGTCTACTTCCTACGCGCTTTAAAGGCACGTTTGGAGACAATGGTCTTGTAGTAGATATTTGTTTCCATTGCAGCTATTTTGAGAAAGAAAAAAGGTTGGTAATCACATGTTACTAACATCCACTATCTACCTAAGTATACTTTAACGTCATTTTATATAATAGTAATCATTTATATATTTCAAAGTACAATGATTATAAGTCTTTCTTGTCCACACATCAATTATTGTTATAATTCTTGCCAATAATATTATTAACCTACTCTTCTTCATTCAAAGTTTATTTAAAAAATTAATATTTTAAATTCATTTTACTTATAAATCTCATATTTCATCAATTTAATTTTCATTACACGAACTCATTCGAAATAAATTATGATTTCCTATGAATGAGTTCATAGCATTTTTCTTATTTTGGAGCACCCAATTTATTATTTTGAATCTCTATTCTTTGACTTCTTTTATTTTTATTATAATAATAATCTCAAATGAAATTATTAAAGAAGATATCAATTATTTTGGAACACCCCATCTTATAATTAATCCCACACATCCACTAAATAATGAGATAGGATTTATGAGAGCATCCATCTCTATCACCACATATCCATCTTTTCCAAATTATACCATCAAAACCTATCCACCCTCAAAACCTTGAAAACTCTCTGGCGGCAATATTCCGGCGACAACAGTGGCAAATATTCTATTACACACACTTCTCTGGCAATGGCAATGAGTGAAATTTTTTTCGACAACTACAACTCCATGAGACAAGAGGAGTGCAACAATGTAAGCTTATAGAAGGTTCACAGCTTTGATGGTGTTTTCAGTTCGGATAAGGTTGGACTTGTAAAGGTAAGTTTCTTGAAAAATACGACAAAAATAGTAAAAACTGTTCTCTTTTTTTCTTAGTATTGAACTCTCGAACATATGATCAAAATTCAGAAACATAAACCCGAACACTGCTTATTTGTTCATGAATAGATAACCAAACATTATTCATATGTTCGACACTTTAGTTCCGCACATATAAATTTTCTTTGGACTTGTTTTACCGATCACATTCTGAAATTTAATTTGTATTGTTATGTATTTCAAGATGATCACAAGCCAAATAGAGGCAGTGAAGAACCCTAGTTGTGCATCTTGGAGAGAAAGCTCTACTTTGGGATCCTTCAACCAAACCAATAGCTCTACTACTATTGTGAGATAGATAATGGGTTTTGGAGAGATTTTTGTTAGGGTTTTATGAGATAATGGTTTTTAAAGGGATATGCATTTTAGTGGGAGTGATATTTTTATAAGGATAATTTTGGTATTATTTGGGAGGATGAAAGAAATTTTAAGAGTTTTAAAATTTATAAGTCGGGGTCCAAAGAAATGGGGGTCCAAAATAATAAATGGAGTACTAATAATATTGTTGGTAACAGGGAATCAAGGCAGTGAGACTCAGTCACTCTCTCTCTCTCTCTCTCTCTCTCTCTCTCATATGCACTATTTTACCAAACCATGTGTGAAGCATTAGAACCACATGTATGTATGTATCCCTATTGCCAAAAATATTATTATATATCTAATCAAAAATGGCCACTCTTTACACTAAAAAATCCATTAAAGATCGCATTCAATGTGGCAAGTGTTTCTTGCAACAATGGGGAGTGGTGTTTTTGAGGATGAAATTGTAAAGTTGTGTGTTGCATACGATCCAATTATATAGTGTAGGTGTTTTGGAAGTTGCTATTTTAGTAGACTATTTTAGTTTTTGGCTATTTTAGTAGGTTCAAATTTTTGTGTTTAGGAAGATGGTTGGATTTTTTTGTAATTGGATGTGATATTTGTGAGAGAAAAAGTAAAATGATTATGGTTGATGTGACATTTTATCTTATTAGCTATTTTAACTTATTTTGTCTTTTTGTAGATTTTAACCTAAAAGAGACTAAATTTTTTCTTGCCAAACAAGCCTAGTGTCTACTTTCTACTTACTTTAAAGGCACATTTGGAGACAATGGTCTTGTAGTGGATACTTGTTCACATTCCAACTATTTTGAAAAAGAAAAAGGTTGATAATCACACATTATTAACATTAAATATCTACCTAAGTTC